CATAGAATCTTGTTCGGTATCACTAGCAACATCTGTCGCAAAAATTGAATATACTCCAGCATTTGTGGGACCGCGAGATATTATCAAAGTTATTGAAGTAAGTTTCGCTTTTTTTTGACATTTTTGATTACTTCCGGTGATAAATTTTGCACAAATAACTTATCTGATGCAATTTTAAAGTATATGTATTTGCTTAATTCATTTTTTTGTGTACGATTTTTAAGGATTTGGGATATTCGGCAGCAGTGGCAAGCCATGATGAACAACTGAAAAGACTTGATCATTCTGCTGAAGTAGCGAAGTAAGTTCGCTTTTTTTTGAGTGTATTTCCGTTTGATGTTTGAACCTAGGAAAGTCCTAATGTAAAAAAAATTTTTTTGAAAAGGTTTTTTTTCGGAAAATTTGGATGTTTTTGTGTAGCTAATGTACAGGCTGTTTGGGCAAAAGAGTGACATCATGAAAACTGTAGTGACCATGGTACTTTTGGAAATTTTTTTTCTGGTAGAACGATGTTTTCAATTTTTTTGCAACTTTTTCTTAATAATGCTAGGCAAGTTAACTTTAGAATGCAGTTTTTTCAAGCATAAATTTTTGAAAAAGTTAAGAATGCTGCGCGGAATTAACGTTGATTTTATTTTTCCGCCGCCATTAGCGTAGTTTTAAGTGGTCCCTGAAAGAGAGAGAGCCACTGCCAAACTTACCAGCGTGTGGTTGCTTTTGACACGTGTTTACCACTGAAGTCACCTCAAAGGGCCCCCGCTTCCCGTAGAAAATAAATACGAAAATGCATTTGAAATGCTATTAGTGCATGTGTAAATTTGACCAGATCGCCATATACCCAATTGTAGTACGAGGTAAAAACAGGCCGGTCCGCAAATTACTAAAATATGTTGCAGCCCAGCCCAGCGCTCGGCTGTGAACATAATCTGAAATCCTATTGACTCGGAGTCGATCTAAAAAATTGTTATGGTGAAGAATTGGAGGAGGAGATGATAAGAGAAAAGCATTGTGGCGAAAACATGTTACATGAAACCGTATGTCATGTTGTAGAGTCTTGTAAAAAGAAATAGTATAGGTGAGAATCCGCCTGTGTTTCATCCCTTAGCTGTAAACATAGATAGCAATCGGGAGCGGACAGGTAAAGTTGACTTTTTTCTTGTAAGACGAAGTGTAGCTTATTTGTTGATCACTCCGAGCAATCTATTCTCGTTCAGATGGCGTACAGCGCTACTGGTATCGTTAATATTCGGTATCCCAGTGATGGCCATTATGATTTATTTTCACTGGTTTCGTCATACCTCAATGCATCCCGAAGCACAGACCCCAGTATTCACTGCTGCACTCAGTCTTGATAATCTCGTTTTATTTCTTTTATGCACACCTGTTCAAGTAATTTTTTTTTGCTTTTTTTGAAAAAATCTCCTGAAAACTCTTTAAATTATAACAAAAAAAAAAAAAAAAAAGAAAACCCGCCCATATCCCAATTTCTGTTATAGGGAAAACATTCAGAACTTACTGGACTAGGAAAAGTGACTTTTTCGTACAGTTGAATGGCCCTCCTTTGCTGCTCTTTCCACTCAAATTTGGTTTTGGGACTTTTTATATTAACTTTTTTTTTTGAAATTATTGCAGCATTTCAGCTTTTTTTCTTTCACTTATATTATCATTATTGTTTTATATCTAGTTTAGAGCGAAAATGTGGTCCAACGTGCTTTAGTTGTTTCCTACAGATGTAATTTTTTTTAATTCAAAATCGAAGTTTTGGTTATTTCTAATGAAATTTTTTTTTTCAGATTTTTGGTGGCCAGTATTTTTATGTGCAAAGTTGGAAAGCACTGAAGCATGGTACAGCGAATATGGATGTTCTGATTGTGCTTGCAACAACTATTTCATATGCTTATTCAGTTGCTGTTCTTATTGCTGCAATTGCTTTCAGGTGATTTCTTAACCGATCTGTTATCAGTTCTTTCATTGGTAACTAATAGATTTGTTTTATTTCAAGAACCACGAGATTTTTTTTTTCTGGATTTGGTCCAATTCGATTTCGTGTACTGTTTGGTCCACGGATATTCTAAATCTTGATCTTTGTGATCTTTCTGATCGATCGATCCACTGATCTTCTTGATCTTGATCTATCGGTGATTTATGACTGTTTGATCCGCGCTGATTTTCTTGATCTGCGGCGTAGTCCCTTATGTATATCTAATTATTTGAAGCGTTACAGGTGGCCGAGCAGCCCAATGACGTTTTTCGATGTGACACCCATGCTTATTACATTTGTTGCTCTTGGCCGATGGTTAGAGCATAAAGCCAAAGGCAAAACATCGGAGGCTTTGAGTAAGCTGATGTCATTGCAAGCAAAAGAAGCAACGCTAGTGACGAGGGATGAAGACGGCCGAATTCTCACAGAACGAAGTATCGATGTCGAATTGGTAAATGATGTTGAATTTTATTATTTACTATTTTTACTTGTAATTTTTCTGAATAAAAATTGTGAAAACCGTTGGTGAGATGGAAAAGTTC